TTGATTTCTACATGACCGTGAGACCAGTCATAAGTCAGTAACTGTATCCAACAAGAAAGTACGTTCATTATTTACAAGTCTCTGTTAACTCATCAGTTTATAGATTTTTAAGTAATCATTAGCTGTTGTTTTACCCGAAAAATATTCAGAAAACTTTGTCTCATTCTTTATCTTGGAAGTTAGAGGTATTAACGGGAACAATCTGTTAACCCTTTAAGATTAAAAAAAATACTGTGTACATCTTACCCTTCACGTACAGTTTGCTTTGTCATACATTCATGAGTCAAAATTGTAAATGTGGCTATGAAAATACTTTTTATTGGGCCATTGTGGCCCAACAAAAGCCCATCCATCTTGGACTTTATTTAGAAAATTGGTTAGAATCACATGGTAAAAAGGAGTGAACTCCATTTTTGGTCCCTATGGGCTTGAAAAAAAAATTCAAATCATGCTTTAATAAGTGTAGAAATAGTTATTAGATTATGGGTTTTTGTTTTGAAATTGGTATAGAACGCTAAGAGTCGTTTACCAAACACTTATCTGGATAAGTGTTTATCAAGTTTAATTACCTTATCGAATGAGTATGACAAATACCAAGAATTTTATCCGGTAATAACAAGACAATGACCGAAAGTCTTACCCTGTAAGTGAGGTCAACAATCTTACCACAAAGTTTGGCTCATACCGCTTCCATTTTTTACGGTCTGCTGGGGAGTTGGGATGGCAAAAAAATTGCATTCGACGGAGAATCCAATAAATGACATTGGTTTGAACAGGGATAAGGATACCCTTTATCTCCGCCCAGAGTATTAATTATATATTTCTATGTATATAGCATTTCAATTCGGGCCGTATTCTATGGTTACGATTATACCATATATGTTTTTTTCATTCCATCGAAAATCTATTTTACGGTATAAACGCTTATGACCTCCCCCTCTATGCCCTGCGGTAATGACTCATCTGGCATTACAATCTTTACGACAATGATATCGTCCATAGATCAAATTATTTCGTGGATTGGATTTCACTTTACTGTCTACGGTTCCATTGCGTGTGCTCGGGTAGAAGTTTTGTATAAATGAATCGTCATGCTATTAAGTATTTTGATTTAAGTTAATTTCTTTCTAAGAGGTGGAAATATTATATTATATAACATTTAACAAAAACTCTTAAAACCCATTTTTTTATACATGAAGTACTGCTTATTGATGTATATTACTTAAAATTTAAGATTACAAGTAAATTGTGCTTAAATACAACTTATTAAGCTTCATATTTGAATTCGTGTAACTGACTGTAGATAAATATAATCAAATACAAGATTAAATTCTTGTTTTAAATATAAAATCTAAAATATAATTAAGATAATTAGTAAGTTCTAACAAAATATTTAGTTATTATCTTTATAAAAATTATATCATTAAACCAAAAATAAATTACTTTGTCATTGAACCTAAATTAAATTATAATAAAAAACTGAATTAAAGAAGTTACACAAAAAAGTGAGAACTTTTAAAATTTTAAAATTTTATGATATATTCAAATTTATATTTTATTAAGAAAAACATTATTGTTTGCTCAAAACCACATAAATTCCTATTATAACATCGATATAGACCAAAAAAATGAAACATTGAAATCGAGATATATTTTGCTGCATTGCACGAGTACCCTTCTACTATATATATATATTATATATATATATATATATATATATATATATACTAAGTATAATGATAGAATGAGAAATCAAATGAGTATATATAATGTATAAGTATATTCATACGAACATATATTTTTGGATTTGTTTTTGCAAACCATATTAGAAATGGCCAAAGCGGGACCGATTGGTAGTGGTTACAAATTTTACTGATTTTTTTTTTTGAAAGGCAAAAAAGGAAGGACAATGAGGAGAGCTTCGGCATGGCCATCACCCTCACCAAGCCAACCAATAAATTAAACAACAAATTTTACTGAATTTGAAGGCCCGTTCAGGGATTGATTTTGTATAAGGACCGTTCCTAAAAGAAATTAAGTTTTTTTTTTATTAACCTGGATATCCAACCCGCTATGTGAGCCAACTAATTCTAGGGCGACCACTTGCTTTGCATATAGCACGGAGTCACCGCATTTGAACTTCCGTGGCCACAAGAGGATTTTTATTCCTCCTTGGATTTGAACTTGATACCTCCTGATACTTTTAACCTTTTGAGCCAAACTCAAACCAATGAGGCACCACCCTATATATATATATATATATATAGATATAGTTTTAATTTTTAATTTTTTTTAATTATAATACATGTTTTCAGTATTTTTTACAATGCTTTTAAGTATTTAATCAAAAATTTTAAGTAGATACCTCATTTGAAGTGTATTTAAAGCTAAATTTCGAAAATCAAAATTAAAAACACTTTTATCTAAAATGATTTAAAATATATGTATTTTTAAATAGGATTAGGACCGGGATAAGTTATAGGGTTTTTGTTCGAAACCGAGACAAGGATTAGAATTAAGACCGATCGATCCGTATTTGTAGAGACCGATTTATACCGGGGATGGGGACTAGAGATGGTCTAAATACGGTCTCGGGCCTGGTCCAAATCTTTCGTAGACCAATATTTCCTTTTGTAACTGGTCCTATCGTAATTGGTCCCGGCCCTGACCAAAAACTCCGACATGTTCTCTATGTAAAAAACTCGGTCTCGAGTCGGGATCCATTTGGTCTGAACTTCTTTTTGCATAATATTTTATTGAAATACATTTTAAAATCTCTAATGGGTCATTTAAATACACTCAAAATTGTTTTTTAATTTTTTTTCATACAAAAACTGTTATAAATGTTTCCATAATTAAGATTTTTGAAATTTATGGGCCGTTTACCTAAACACTTACCCGGTAAGCACTTACCGGTAATTTTCAACATTATCGCTTATTTACCGTGTAAGATTTTATTCACTAAAACGCATCGTATGCAACAATTTATCCCGATAAGCGCTAACCATGGCAAGAGCCCCCGTCCTCACTTACCGGGTAAGACTCTCGATTTTTGTTTTCGTTCTTACCGGGTAATATTTTTAGTCCTTGCTATATTCATCCGGTAAAGTAAAGTGACTTGGTAAGCGTTTGGTAAACGGCACCTTAGTATTGGAACACTTAAGAAACTTCAAAAAGAACATGAAAAACTTAAAAAAAAGTTGAAATTTTTGGTAAAAAAAGAACTTGTATACCTTGTAGAAATCTTGAAAAAAACTTGATATATAATTTATAAAAACATTAATCTTTTTCGAACCTTAATTTTTTTATAAAAAATATAACTGATCCCAAATCTCGAACAACTGTGTTAAAATGGAGAAAATAGGTGAGAGATTGTGAAAATCTCTAAATTTAGAGAAATCTTTAAAACTCCATAGAAAAAAAGAAAAAATAATTTTAATTATATTCAACCAATTAAAACAATTGAAGTAAAATGTGTACGAGAGAGAAATGATATTTTGTTAAATGTATCAAATTTTTTATTTATATAATTAATTTTAAAATTGTTAAAATAGAGTAGTTGTTGGAGGTGAATGTAAAATTTTCTAGAGATTTTGACTTTTTGTACTCTATAATAGAGTAAGGGGTTGTTCGGTTGCGGCTTAATGGTTTGTATAAGGTATGTGGCTTATTCACACAACCATATCTAGCTGTTCGGTATGGGTTTATCTGATGAGCCCATGCCTGAATCGCTCAATTACAAAAATAGAGTCATATACACTCAGCTGACCCTTTTTCCCCCTCAATACCCTTGAAAGGTAAAACCCCACCCAAATACCCACAAACTCAACCCTTGTCGACGGACCAATCATCCCCTCTCTTTGGAGTTTCGTCTTCATCGCAATCACGCGAGTCAACTTAACAATCTAGGGTTCGTTGACTTGTTTGGGCGGTGGTGCCGAAGGTGGTGGTGATGATGAATGCGAGGGTCAAAGCGCTGACAAGAGTCAACCGTTTGGCGATGATTCGAAGCTGGTCGATGGCGCGATGGATGTTGTTCAAGCCGTCGCCGATGGAGGAGGGACGGTGGAGTTAGGTAACGACGGAGGGAGAGGGGAAGTGGTGAAGCAGAAGCGAGGGCGGCCGCCTAAGGCTCAGGTGGAAACCGTCTGCCAGGAAAAGAAGAGGAGGAGGATGTTTGTTTTATTTGCTTCGATGGTGAGAGTCTTGTGCTCTGCGAATGCTAATTTGTATTGTTTTTTTCCCCTTGTTTTGAGGATAACGTTTAACTCATATAATTATGTTAATCAAGTTGTTTTTTTTAAAAAAAAATTAATTGATATTTTTTTTATAATTATAAATCATTCGTTCAACATTTGTATCACACTGCTGTTTTATTCACACAAAAATATAAAGATTGGGGGTAAAATGATTAATTCTGACATTCAGACTGTTTATTCAGCACAACAACCGAACAACAACTTATCTGTTAATATACAAACAACTATATCAATACAGACAATTATATCCACAGTTGTCTTAACGGAAAACAAACTCAGGGGTTGTTTGTTTACCTCTTAATAGTTCCATTAAGAGGCAAACTCTGAATCGTTAAGAGATGAATCTTGTTTGGCAGAAAAAAAAAGTCTGCCTCTTAATTGTTTCTAAAACCCTCTGAATGATTTTGTATCTTGGATCTCCCTTAATCATTAAGAGCCCTAATTTTATTATACACAATTACCAAACAATTATATTTTATTTTGCACTATATTATAAATGCCTCTTAATCATTCTGACTATTTAATTACTTTATACCAAACCATTTAACAATTGTCAAATAGCCCCTAATTATAGTATAAAGGTTGACCAAATGGACCAAAGACTGGTTGCTTGATTGGACACGTGTTCAAACAAAAGCCCATTTAACGGCCCATTTAATATGATCCATATAGCCCAAATAACTGTTTCTCTGTAAAAACCCTATATCAAGATCTCAACTCTCCACTTTCCGCCGTTGTGCCAAACCCTAGAGAGAGAGAGAGAGAGGTCAGAGAGAGAGAGAGAGAGAGATGGGACGTGTGATTAGGGCACAGCGTAAGGGAGCAGGCTCCGTTTTCAAATCCCACACTCACCACCGCAAAGGTCCGGCGAGGTTCAGGAGTCTCGATTTCGGCGAACGGAATGGTTACCTCAAAGGTGTTATCACCGAAATCATCCACGATCCCGGCCGTGGTGCTCCTCTTGCTCGCGTTATTTTCCGACATCCTTTCCGGTACAAGCATCAGAAGGAACTCTTTGTCGCCGCCGAGGGGATGTATACCGGTCAGTTTGTGTTTTGTGGTAAGAAGGCTAATTTGATGGTCGGAAACGTGCTTCCTCTTAGATCTATTCCTGAAGGAGCTGTTGTGTGCAATGTTGAACATCATGTCGGTGACCGTGGTTCGTTTGCTAGGGCTTCTGGTGATTACGCGATTGTTATCAGTCATAATCCTGATAACGGCACCACCAGGTATAGATTATTAATTCATTTGTAGATAAGCTTCATTCTTATTAAATCCTTCTCGATTACTGTTTTTGTTATTGATAACATCACATTGTTATGCAAAATTTTTCCTTGATTTAATCTAGAATCGCGTCTATGTATGATTATTACATGGTTTTGCCAATCTCGTTTTATATCAATTATTTGCGTTTCTGATTTCGTACCCTAAAATTGTTTATGTACTGTAATTATGATCATAATCTTGTATGCACAATGTATTCACGCACACATATATGCACAATCTTATCTTAAATGTGTTAAACTTTGCTTATATGAATACATTTGGCCTTGTGGATACTTGTATGCCCTGTTCTTCAAATATGAACTGTATCTACTTCATAAAAGAGTTGCTAGTTTAAGCTTCTGTTCGGAGAACTGAGCTTCTGCTCAATTTCAAACTTCGTATGATGTATAAAGTTTATTCAGAATATGAGCTTAATTTGATTAATATGATTAGGGCAGGTAGAAGGTGTTTCAACTTTGTTTTAGAAAGAACTTATATTGGTTTCAACTACGAAAGATTATCGTATGAAAAATCTTCTCTTTTGTTGATATCAATTGTATTCATGTGAAGATGTTGCATTCTTGACTTGATTGTAATTTTTTTTTGCATTTTTTTTGCAAATTTGAACAATAATGGTTAAGAGTACAAACAACAATGAACCCCTCTTTTGTTTTTATACAAGGGTGGGGTGGGAACAATTGTGTGCTACTTATTTCATACTTTGCAATCATAAGCTAGCTTATTTTTTGAATTTATCTAAAGTATTCTCAGTAAGCCAACTTTCGGAATAGCTACTTCAGAAATTCATGTAACCTTTTCCATTTATTCCAATTAAATGATTTGTATGTTAGAATTGTTCAACACTGTTTGATTTAGGTCATTTTACTTTGTCATCGAACATATAAGCTAGTTTTCAACTTTTCATCATGCTTGGCTGAATTTTATTAGCCAACTAGTTTTCAGCTAAAATACGACTTGTTATAAGCTAGTTAGCCAAATGTAGCCTTCGACGTAGAAGGTTGTATATAATTTAGAGATGGATAATGGCGAAACTGCCTTGACAATGGTATGCCTATTTGTATTTTAATTTTGTGTGGTTCGGTAATGGTAAATGGTTCCAAGTTTTTGTGTGGTTGTCGATTTATAGGGTTAAGCTTCCATCTGGTGCCAAGAAAATCGTGCCAAGCGGGTGTCGGGCTATGATTGGGCAGGTTGCTGGTGGTGGACGTACCGAGAAGCCTATGCTGAAGGCTGGTAACGCGTATCACAAGTTCCGAGTCAAGAGGAACTGCTGGCCCAAGGTTCGTGGTGTGGCTATGAACCCTGTTGAGCATCCCCATGGTGGTGGTAACCATCAACATATTGGTCACGCAAGTACCGTTCGTCGTGATGCACCACCCGGTCAAAAGGTTGGTCTTATTGCCGCTAGGAGGACTGGTCGGCTCAGAGGTCAAGCGGCTGCAACTGCCTCCAAGGCCGACAAGTAAAACACCATTTCGTTGGATTATGATGGTATGGTTTTTTTTTTGGATATTTTCGTTTCAAGAATTACTGTTTCTGTGTGTTGGGTATCGAGAAATTATCGTAGTTCAGTTTTGGCTTAAGTGTTACATTTGAGGATTAATTTACAGATTTGTGATCCATTACTGATAGCTATGCTATTGTTTGTTTTATCAAGCACTGAAAATAACTTGTCAGCTTAATTGCAAGAATAAGCCCAAATCTGAGGCCTGGTCTGAAAAGCCCGGATCTAGTGAGAACTAGAAGCTTGGTCTGAGGCCCGAGCTGGACGAAATTGTGGGGAATGGTCTAGGCAGCAAAAAGCCCGATCGGTCCCATTTCCGTTTCCAATACTTGATTAGGGCCTAAAAACCAGATTATACTTTCATCAATAAAAACATGAGTGTAAAAGTTTATGAAAGAAAAATAGTAGAATTACGTTTTTGGTCCAAATTTTTTGTTTCGAAGCCTAAATAAACCCCTCCCATTAGCTCTGTTACTTTGGCATCTGTTAACCTAGTTATGTGGAGGGATGTTCAACAACCGACCAACCCAACCTGAAGCAACCTAATGTTTAATCGAGTTGTAAAATCTTCAAACCGTATGTATTTAGTTGGAATTGAGTTATAGTTTTTAGAACTGAATCTAACCCGATGAACCTAATATTCTTTTATTTTTTGAATTTAATATGATTGTTAAGTTTTTATTAATATGTATTTTTATAATTATACCATCACATACCCTTTTCATATACATGTATTTTCAATGATGAAAAAGGAATCACAAACATATTCAAAGTTAAGTAAAAATATTATGATATACCAAAATATTAACCAGACAAATCTATTAACCTGTACGGTTCGAGTTGGGTCGAGATGATATTTTTCAAACCATAAACATTGAATTGAGTTTGTTCAAATGTTTTCAACCATATCAACCTAATCCATAAACATTCTAGACATGTTTTCCTCCACGTAAGGGATATTTTGGTCTTTTCACTCATTTTCTTTATCGTTTAAGATATATAACTAAACTAAGATCATATAACTACCTAAACGATTGCATGTGAAAACAAACAACTTTGGATATGGTATTATGTTTTATAAAAAATGAAAAGAAAAGAAAAGAGAGTATAATGGAAAAGGACTTGGGAGAAAAAGATCACATGGAACAACGTGCTGGCACACATTGCTACAATCATTTGGTTTCTATATCCTGCCTGCCTTCCTACACAAGTATGCATGCACCCGTACAAGTGGCTGTTTAGACACTTCTCTATTTGTTATTTTAAATACCTCTTTATAACTAATAAGTTACACTGTATTCAGCTTGTTATTTTTTACCATTTTTACCATAACTTTCATACTCACTGATAGTCAAATGTAGATCGGTGTTGCTATATATACACACCTCTGTCTATTTTCGAATCAAAATACTTTAACTAAATAAGGTAAGAAATGCTTTGCGTTTTATAATTTTGTACTGATAGATGAGTAATCAGCTTATGTGAAATCGATGAAATTTATTTGATATTTTTCATGTAATAAAAAAATTACAATACAATTTGACTATTTGGTTGATTATATGGTCTGTAAGGTTTAGGGGCCGTTTACTAAGCACTTACCTGGGTAAGTATTTATCAAGTCATGTTACCTTACCGGATGAATATGGTAAGAATCAAGAATTTTACCCGGTAAAAGCGAGATAAGGATCATGAATCTTACCCGATAAGTGAAGGCGACGACTCTTACGGTCTTCACTTACCAGGTAAATTGTTGCATACGATGTCGTTTTGGTAGACTAAAATCTTATCCGGTAAGTAAATAATAGTGTTAAATTTTACAGATAAGCACTTACCAGGTAAGTGTTTGGTAAACGGCCCCTTAGTGAAATCTTTGAAAGTTGGACTTCAACTTTAATAAGCCGATGTTTATTCTCTATGTATGCATAGGGGTGTAAACGAGCCGAGTTAAGTCGAGTAGTAAGTTAATTGAGTTGGGATTGAAAAAGTAATACTAGGCTCGAGCTCGATTCAAGCTCATTAACTTTTTCAATAAAGGGTTCGAGCTTGAGCTCGAATGTTTTTTGAGTTATCGAGCTCGATGCTCGTTTATGGGTTCAAACTCGTGATTGATTAACTAGTTTATCGACTCGAGCTCAATAAATTGTATATATTTATTATATTATTAATAAATATATTAGCATGTGTTGGCTCAAAAAAGTGTATCCTCGAATGATTCGACTCGAAAAATTGAATCCAGTTTTCGAACGAGCCGAATCATATATTGTGTTACAAAGCTCGACTCGTTAAGTTAAATGAATTATATTGTGTGTTCGAGATCGACTCGAACTCAAGAATTATTAAGCTCGAGCTCGAAGTAGCTCGTTATAAGGGTCGGCTTGCTTAGACCCCTAGGTCTGCATTTTGCTTTAAAACGAGACACGACTGTTACCTCCGTCTAATTTCTTTGTTAGAGCCAACGGTAAAATCATCCAACAATGTTTCCGTCTCCTTTTTATCGTCTCTTTCTTGTGTTTTCTTCATTTTTTGGTTTTTTCCTACTTTGTAACAACCATCAAATTATAGGAAACAAATTGTATGAAAAAGTAATGTACTTTAACTTGATTTATATTTTGGGTAAGATACTTTCAAAACTTTCATTTTGGTACATAAGATGTAAATTGTTGAACATTTAAGTACTCTGGTAACTGGTTGAAGCATTAACCGGTTATCATGCTGATGTGACGAGTAATGTGGTATCCAGCTCAGTATTATTTGTTGACGTGATTAGTGACATGAATTTTTTTTTAATCTAAAATTAGTTTTCAATGGTTTATCAAAGTATTTAAATGTTTAAAATTTTACATCTTATGTACCAAAATAGAAGTTTTAAAAGTACGTTACCCAAAATAAAAATCAAGTTAAAATACGTTATTTTTTTCATACAATTACCCTTTCCTTTTTCTTTTCTCGGCACTCAAGAAATACAAACAAAAAAAATTATTTTTTCACTTTTTATTTTTTTCTTCTAAAATTAAATTTAAAAAAACAGTATATTACATTTTTAGTCCCTATGGTTTGTTGAAATTTTCTGTTCTCATCCTTTTGGTTTTAAAATTACAATTTTCATACTTATAATTTATTATTCATTACATTTTTCGTTTTTATGATTTAAAGCTTATTGCTTTGTTTTTTTGTTTCCATGTTTTACAATTCATTGTTAGTTATTCATATTTAAAAGTAGTATTGTGGCCTTGGGTACGAAAAAGAAATGGCAAATCATAGGGATAAAAATTGAAATTTCAAAACTATAAGGACGACATCCATAATTTTTAATAAATCACAGGGACCAAAAACGTAATTTACTCTTTACAAAATGGCAAATTGCATGAAAAAGTAACGTACTTTAACTTGATTCCTATTTTGGGTAACGTACTTTCAAAACTTCCATTTTGATACCTTAGATGTAAAGTTTCAAACATTTAAGTACCTGGGTAACCCGGTGAAGATTAATTTTAGACTAAAAAAAAGACTAATTTTAGATTTAAAAAAATCCACGTCACTGACCACGTCAGCAAATAATACAGAGTTGGATACCACATCACTAGTCACATCAACATGATAATCGGTTAATACTTCAACCAGTTACCCGGGTACTTAAATGTTTAAAACTTTACATCTTAAGTACGAAAATGAAAATTTTAAAAATACATTATCTAAAATAAAAATTAAATTAAAATATATTATTTTTTCATACAATCTGTCTTTTACGAAATGGGGCAACTAAGATAGTAATTTGGGAGATGTGGTTACATAGGAAGCCAACATTCTTAAAGTTGGTTTGGTTTGACCCTTTTGGCACATGATTGATCACGTGGACATCTCATAAACGCCACACCTCTACTTTCCTTTTCTTTTTTTCATTTATTTAAAAGAAAAACTAATAAATAATAATCTCGTTTGGATTTAGCCAAAACAAAAAAATTTAATTTTTAATATTAACTAGTTGTGTATCCGTGTAATATGATGGATGATGTGAATTTTAACGATTTTAAAGTTTTACTGGTTTTATTATAAAATATTTAACAATGATGTAGGTTACACTTGATCTTTCACATATTAATACAATTTGAATAAAATAAAAGTTATGGTTCTAATTACAGTATATCGATGAAAAAATTGTATGACAGTTTAAAAGCCAATATATTTAAACGACTCCACAAATATGTTTGATTTACACCAAGAGCAAAGAATCAAGAGATCGAGAACGAGACTGAGAGTTCTAGAGCAATTGAATGTGAGATGAATGCGAGAACTTTTAATAACTCACGGTAAATATCAGTTTAAATCTCACCTTGGGGGATGGGGAGAAGACATAGAAGTATGAGATAGTGAATACATGAGTGAAATGTATCAAAAATATCTTGGGAACATGAAAAAAAAATAATTATATGCATTGGTAACTTGTATTATGTGTTATTTTAATTGTAGATTAAGAAATTTTAAAACTTAATGCATAAAGTAGTAGTACTTAATGCATTATAAGTTGGTTTTAAGACTTTGTGCATTAATATATAGTACTTTGTGCATTAAAAATTGTTTTTAAGACTTTTGATAAATCTGGTTTATAAGGTAGTATAAATTGATACATATTACTTAAAATCTAACAAATACATATTACTTAAAATCCAAGATTACAAGTAATTATGCATAAGTACAACTTATTAAAGCTCGATTTTTGAATTCGTATAACTAATTGCGAATAAATATAATCAAATAGAGGATAAACATCTTATTTTAAAAATATTTTTTTTTAAATATAATTAAAACAATCATTAAATGTTAACATAACACTTGATTATTATTCTTATAAAAAAATATATTATTAAACGAAAAATAAATTATTTTGTGATTAAATCTAAATTAAATTATAATAAAAAATTAAATTAAAAAAATTATACGAAAAACATGAACTTTTAAATAGTTAATTTGATATACTAATATTGATGTATTTTTTTCAAATTTTTATGAGATATTCAAATTTATATTTTATTAAAACATAAAAACCTTATCGCTTTAACAAAATCATATAAAAATGTGTTATAATCTCAATACGGACAAAATAAAACGAAACATTCAAATCAAGATGTATCGAACTGCATTGCACGAGTACCGTTTTAATTTCACTTAAAACAAAAAGGACAGTTTTTTACTGACGTACCTATAAGTTATGGATACATTATGACAAAACTGATACTTATAGTAGGTGATCAAATTTAATATCTAATGTGCTATGATGAATTTCGAATTAATATCTGTTGTAATTATGAACATAACTGATTTAATGATATTTATATCTACAGATACATAATATTTTGAAATAATCTTTTGGGTCGGTAAAAAAAGAAACCAGAGAGGGCCCACTATTAGGTCAGATACTAGGATCAGTATTAGCAGAGGCATACAATGTATGTTAGAGCGGGTTCAGTGAGCCTGCTCAATTTAGTTTTACAAGTACTACTTTTTTAGGCATGAAAGGTGTATCGATTAAACTTTGAGGGATGCTCCAGTATATTACAAAATAAATAAAATATTAATTAAAAAACCAAAAAAATACCTCGAAATCAACAAAAAAACACAGAAAACCCTCTTGAAAAAAAAAAAAAAATGAAAGTCAACCGAAATCAAACCAAAACGTTTAAAAACCCCTCCAAACGGTGGAATTCAGCTAAAAACATATTGTACAATTTTTTTTTGATTAACCTGGATATCCAACCCGCTAGGCGAACCAACTAATCCCAGGGCGACCTTCTATTTTGCAGGTAGCCCGGAGTCACCGCATTTGAACCTTCATGGCCACAAGGAGATTTTTGTTTCTTATTGGATTTAAACCTGGGACCTCCAGCCACTTTTGACCTTTGGAGCCAAGCTCAATTTATCGTACGACTTTACGGACCTTTGATCTACCTTAAGACTTAAAGATATCCCACTTCGTAAAATCTTAAATCAATAACTGAATCTTAGTCCAATAGCCATAACCCTACATCTTCAGATTTTGGTTTTTGACCAGATATTAACCAATTAGGTCCTGATATGTTTTTGAACCCTTGATCTCCAAAGCAAATGAAAATGTTAAATCTTCAAAATATCTATTATAACATAATTGTTGGAAATCTTGTAATAGATTTATCCATATCATAAATTAAAAAATAAACAATTATTTAAGATATTTAATTGTCAAAACATTAATACTTCTATATAAATCATGGTTAATTACCAAAACACCCTTGGTTGCAGAATAAATGCAAGTTGAGTGGTGGGTCTCCATTCTCTACATTCCACAATGCAGCCCTTACCAAATATAACCAAAACAATTTGATCATCAATTACTTATTTGCAAAAGTTTTCTTTTGATATATATATATATATATATATATATATATATATATATATATAAGACCAAGGGTTTTTCGTGAGACCCGTAAAACCAATTCTTAAGCATTGGATTAAATCTACAATTTGAGCATTCATAATCACAGAATTATCACGAGACTTCTCAATAAACACAAAATTGTCACCGTACAACTTTAGACCATTAGATCGTTAGCTTATAAAGTTAATCAATGAACATAAATTGGTCTTGCGAAAAACCTTTGATCTCACGTGAACCCAACCCTATATATATA